CTTGGCATATTGAAGAGAGAGAGTAAAGCGCTTCTTTCAAGAAAATTACTATAAAAGGAAATTTTCAAGAAATCAGTGGTGAACAGGTGAGAGTTTTTTTTATAGGCTTAAAATTTTTATTTGCTTTTATATTTAATTTTTATAATAAAATTTTAATTTTTGTTTATATTATATATATAAATATATGTATATAATTTATAATATATTTTAAAAATTTTTTTTTATTTTAAATCAATATTTTCAAATAAATTTATCAAATAAAACTTTAATATTTTAATATTTATATTTTTTAAAAAATATATTTTAAATTTATATTACTTGAATTATTATTTATTAAGTTATAATAATAATAATAATAACAAGTTTTTTTGTTACACATTATATAACAAATATTTTTATTTATAAAATTTTTTAAATTAATTAATAAAATTTTTTATAATAACAATATAACAATATTTATTATTTAATTCAAAATATATAATATTGAATTTAATATTTTATTAATTGATATCTTAAATTATTTAAATATACAATTAAATTTTTATATATAAAAATTTTTTATATTAATATTATTATTAAGATTTTATTATATTAATATTTTTTAAAAAAACCATTTTTAATTAAAATTATCTTTTTATATTGTTTTTTTAAAAAAAATATTTTTAATAAAATGATTTTATATACTGATATTTATAATAAAATTTTATTTACTTATATTTTTTGTTAAAAAAACTAGTTATATTGATATAAAAAGATTTGATTGTATAAGTTTTTAATATTAATGCAAAACCAATAATTTGTTTTTTTTTACTAATTTTAGTTATGATTTCAATATTACCAATAAAATATATATAATTTTTTTGACAAGTCTGATAATTTTTGAAATGATAATATTGATATAATATTATTAGAATATATTACAAATAAATATAAGTTCCAAAACTAATAAAATAAATTGTTTTTCATTAATTCTTTAAAAAAATATTTGTATGCAAGTATTTCATCAATTTTTTATAATTTTTAAATAATAAATTAAAATAATATAATAAAAGTTATAAATATATTTTGTATATACAATATTGTATATTATAATTTAAGCTTAAGACATATAAATCATAAAACCTATTATATATTTATTGGGCATTTATTTAATTTAATTTTTTATATTTAATTATATTAAAAATATTACAAGTTTACATTATTTAGCTAATTTATAGTCATTACAATAAATTGTTTATAAAATGCAAATTTTTATAAAATTATGAAAAAATAATCAATTAATATTTTATTAATTAAAATATGATTTAAAAAAGATTTTATATTCATTACATTTCAAATAATTAAAACATACAAATCACAAAACTATTTTTAAAAATTAAATGAATTTTTTTAATATATGTGCTTTTTAAAAAAATTTTTAATATAAATCTTAGTAATATAGTTTAAATTTCGTTTAAAATGGATGATGTTACATCATTTAATTATTTAAATATAAATATTTTTTTAAATAAATATATTCAAAATTTTATTGCAAATAAACATTGGGTTTTTGTTTAACAATCGATTTTCGATTTAAAAATTTCATAAATCTAATAAAATTTTATGAAGAAATGGATACTTTTTACATTATTGCAACATTTATTACTTCATAACCCACATTTTCTATTGACTCGGGTCAATGATTTGTCACAATGTTTGTTTACAACAATTGCAAATTCAAAGAAAAAACATCTTTGTCAATTAAATTAGAAAACTCATACATACAATGTAAGTATTTATATAAATAAATAAAACGAACTCTAAAACATTTATAAAGTATATACTGTAAACGAATCAAGATCCTATTAAATTGAACTGATTATAATAGAAACTAAACTATATTTGTTTTACTACAATCGCGATTCCGCCGGCTAATCTAAAATCCTGAAAGACCGATTTTCCGGTTTTTTTGATAATCATTTTAATGTTGTGAATTCAATAACATCTTTCGCTTCCAACTCCGAATAATGTCGATCCCACTTCTAATAGTATATTATAGAAATTTCATGGTAGGTTAACTATAATAAGTTAACGAGCTATGTTTCTTAAATTTCTCATAAATATAATTATATACGGTAGATTATTACAAACTCTTCTTTCACTTATTCTCTTTATACTTTCACTTACTCTGTTTAAATTATTTCTTGTCCAAACAAGAATTCTACAAAATAGGGTCACAATTTATAAGAGATATTAGATAATATATTACAAACGAAGAATCATTTTTAGTAATTCGTCAGACTTAAATTGCAGTTTATAAATAAGCCTAAAAGTTATGTTCTCATGCTTTAAGAGATTAATATATTGTAGGGTGTACTGGGTATTTTCACGATTATGAGCCACGGTTACACATGAGCTTATGAGAAGTTTCTTTATCTTTTAACAAAACCGGTAACATAAGAATACTTAAGTAATTGACGCGTGTAATGGTCACGTCTCCGAATAGAATAATGCTGCGTTAATTTTCGCCTGTCTTTAATGGTTAGTAAATGTACGTACACATGCACGATATACAGTAAGTCAACTAATCTAATTGTTCGTGTTATGTAATCTTAATATTAATTTTTTATGTAATCTTAATATTAATTTTTTATTTGAAAGGATCTTAAGGTGATTTGAATCTTCGACTCAAAAATTACGTATTTAAGGAACCAATTTCAACCGTTTACACCGAAGTTTCCTCAATGAGCTCTCAAACTTCCTACGATAACACGCAAAATGCTCGTCCGACTTCGGACAATCCTGCGCAAATTCCCCCTTTTCAAGGGCAAAACCCTCATCCGGAGGTCAATCCTTCAAATAAATTCGATATTATTAATGGAAACACCTTTTCGCAACAAGAATTGATTGTGAAAGAAAAACCTTTCGTAGAAACTTTATTTAATGGCGACAGCAATGAACAGGAAGTGCTCGAATATACAATCGCCCATATTATCTAATATTACGTTTTCATTTTTGCCAGCGCCTTTTGTAGTGTAAGAGAGTAAGAAAAAAATGGCTATGTAGCATGTATAATAGCATTATCTAATTAAAGTAGAATTGGCGCTTGAAGGATTTATAGGATCTTTGAATTTTTGGGATGTATAAAAAGAGAGAAATGTACAAGCAACAAGACAGACAATAAAGTATTTCTTTATCTAACAACTTACTGCATTTTTTAATACATTTATTTACCCCATGACACATTTTAAATGCCTCTTTCGACGTTGCACGAGCGGCGATCGCGACGTAGTGACAAAATCAACAGTAGCTACGTTAAGTTTATCTGTTACGCAACATTTCTTTAGATTTTCTTCGTTAAAAATACTCGACTTTTAATTTTCGATCCTATAAAAAAAATTTGTTATTGGTTTTGTTACTTTTCTTTATTTTAAATCCCGACTTAATTTTTGAATCCCTAAATTTATATTTTGTTTATATTTTTGTTAATTTTTTTCAATAAAAATTATTTTTGTTATTTTTCCTTCAAAGAAAAACAATACTGTATGCTTATTCTCCATTTCTTGTTTTATGGCTTCTGTTATTACGCGCGTTTTTTTTTGTTCTATCCTTAAAGTTGTTTTCTCTTCTTTCTCGAATATATATATATTACTTTTGCTCTGATAAAAAAATTTTTTTTCCTCTTCTTTTCATTTTCTTAACTTACTTGTATTGGGTGGCACGTCGATATTTAACTTTAACCATGATGAACCTTTAATAAGATCAACAATATTAACAAAAACCTTTACTTTGTGCACAAACGATAACAAACCCATAATTACCTTAGCAATTATTATATTTTTGCAATATTTTGTTAACATCGCGATTTTGTATTGATTCACGGGTAGTGGTACAAAAGTCGTTTCAGACAAAAAAATCTCGAATAATCGCACGCATATAAAAAACTTTATCTTAGTAACATTTTTAAAATCCCACCAGGCCTTTGAACATGCATATTAAAACCAATATTACTCTCTATTATTATATATAAACTAATTCTGTATATTATGCGCTGGCGTTTTATTTATCTTTATGAATAGTTAGTTGTAGAACAGAGTAAAAGAAAGCACATCAGAAACTATCTCTTGCAACATATAAACTCAACACGAGTCAATAGAAATAGTTACGTTGTTTATTGCATGTGTTGCCCGTATAACTTGAATACGTTAACTAACTTGTTGCTTTCCGGATTCTCACGGGTCTCCTATTATGTCTAATGTTGTGGGTCGGATTGACTAAATCGTTGCACATCTTGAGTAACTCCCGATGCGGTACCATATAATTTTATATTACAGTAATTCCTTGCACCCTGTCAATTTTCTTGGGCAAATCTAATTCTGTCATACGAGTTAAAGTCTAATACACGTGAAAAAATAAATAAGTTAGATCTTTAACTTTGTTTTATTAATCGGGTTTATATGGCATGCAAGATTATGACACAATACATATTTTTCTCACCATTATTTTTACTCTACCTATCCTGGTTAGTTTGTTAGATCTTGTTTATCTTCCAAAAAAATCTAAAATACTAAAATACATATGGCTATTAAATATAATAGCACTATTTAACTGTTATTGTGTCCATATATCGTTAGCTTAATCTAATCTGCGATGGTATATCGGGTACATGTGCTTTACCCTTTTTAAATCGTTTTTAGTTGAATTTATAATTCAATAATCAATACAGTAATAGACACTCACGGAATCCTTGAAGAAGAATTAAAATGTCTGGTCGAATTTAAGAAAGCGAAAAACCAAATTTACGATGTTACTTCTATTTTAGTTTTCTTCAGATCTACTTTTCTATTCTATACAAATTGATTTACTCGAACCAGCGGTTATTTTTTTAACTAAACACTTTCCTTCGAACTGTTATTAAATACCAGGAAGTAAATGGCAAATTAAAAGTTCTTTCTCTCTTTTTAAAGTAATATTTATTATTAGAAAAACTATCGGAAATTTTTAAAAACCTCGATAATTTTTTTACAATCAATGAAGGAGTGACCCAATATTTTGTCCCACCTAAATCACATGTAATTTACACAATACAGTACTGTATACGTATGGTACAGTACAGTATAGAGGGTCACAAAAAAGAAAGCCTGTCGAATGACTGGACGAAATAATACTTTCTTCCTCTGCCACTCAAAGCTATAGAATAAACAAAAAAAAAAATTTTTTTTGACTGTTATATCAAAATACTATGGGCTGTATACAGATATTAGATCAAATATCTAATAGAATACATAACAAAAACTATAGACATACTGTACTATATATAATAGATTTATGAGAAACTATTTTATACTGTAAATTGTAGATGAAGTGTTCGCGGAAATAAGAGTCTGTTAGATAAAGGTAAATATGTTTTTGAGTATATTTTATAATTGAATTTTACAACTTAGTTGGTGATTGATTATTTAGTCGCGTATGTTATTTATTACGTATACATAATCAATAATTATTTAAAATTAAAACTAACAATTGTATAAAAAAATCATTAAAATTTCCTGTTCTTTCTTTGGATGTTATTATAAGCAATATAATCAACTAAGCTCACAATGCAACACGTATGTAATCTTATCTATCAATTCATCACTGCGTATTCGTTTTTCTCATATTGCAAGTAGTTAGCATCTTTTTTCACTTCGATTCCATTAATAAAACCTAATTAAAATCTACTTATAAGGTTAACACAATAAAGTGATGTGTATTGATAACCTTCTACTTTGTTGCATTGTTTTCTAGTAGTCATGAATGCAGAAATAATAATCCGTAGTCATATGAGAAACTGTCAGGTAATCGGGTAATGCAGAGCGCTTGCCTGTGACCTAAAATATTTCATTTTTATAACCAAATAAGTTTAGTAGAGTTAATGAACGCTGCTCTTACAGTAATAAAATTTCCAATAAAATAATGCGTGCGAAAAAACGTTCATGGCAATAGAAACTCCGAAAAAACTTATCGCTATCGAAACCTTTGATGACTTTCTAAAATGGATTTCTTCCTTTTTTGGTAAAATTTATTCGTGAATAGCGCTATAATACCATATGATGATAATCTATTTAACAATAATATTTTAATTGCCGTATAAAAATGAAATATTAGACGTGGTTCTTATTGGCAATCGATTTTTACAGTAGATGATAAAATAGCTTTATTAATTTCATCTTTCTAACTAACCAAAAATGACTAGTAAAGGAATAAAAAGGATAATTTTCGAGCAATGAAGAGATTTCAATTTCTTTATTCTGTTTGATGCCTTTTCTCTCGAAAGAGGTTAGGATGTTCTAAAAAACCTCAATTTTTTGAATCTTTTTCACTCAATATTACAACCTGTATTTACTGGACCCCTGTTCATGCGTCGTAAAACCAAAGACTGTTGTATAAATGTAATTTACCCTTTCATATCAATAATATATTAATCTCTTAATTCAATAAGGCCAAAATTTTTATTGAGAAATTATAAAATTACTATGGTATTTTATAAAATTAAATTTTAGTAGTAAAGATATTATTAATTATTAATTATACTATTTTTAGGTATTCAATTAATAAAACTAAATATTTTTTTTAAAATTTACGATTTATTATATTGTATTTATATAATGATTATATATTAAACAAAAAACAAATATGAACTATAATATTTATTTATTGGTTAAAATAATAATTGATTTAAATTTATATTAGTCAAATAAAAAAATCACATAACAAGAATTCAATACTTGTATCCAAAGATTGATTTCTACTTAGTTCAAGAAATATAATCATTGGACAATATTAAAAATAGAATTTATAATATTTACAATACCAGAGTTCCATTCTAAGTAAAAATAAAAAATGTCCAATTGATTTTTATTGGATTTTTTAAAAAATAAAAAATATATAAATATTTATTGTCAAGTTTTATGATATTTTATAGAAAATTAATTCAATTACTTTCTAATTCCAAAAAATAACAAAAATTAACTTTGTTTTAATAATTCCAAAAATTAATAACTTAGAATTATAAATATGATATAAAATATTTTGTAATTTCAAAAATTTCAAAAATGATTAAATTATAACTCAATAATTTACCTTATTTAATAATTATATCAAATAAGTATATTAATTAAATGAATTATTTATAGATTTTGGTAACATATATTTAATATTATAAAAAATATTAGTAATTATTAAAAAAGACACCTATTTATTTATTACTGATTCAAACCTTTTTTGTATAATAAATTTTTAAAAAGTACTTTTTATCCTCTTCTTTTTATGTCATAATTTATAAGCTCAATAATATAAAAATTTTAAAATTACTGTTATAAAAAGATAAAACCTTTGTTAAAAAGCAAAATAAATTTAAAAGCTTTGCTTTTTTTATTATATAAAAAAAGATCCATGTCAGTTTTCTTTTATAAATATTCTTTAAGCATCTTTTTAATAAAATTTATTGATATTATTCTTATATCAATTTTTAATATTATGAAATTATTTCAAAGTTATATTTAAAAAAAGTTATTGAATTTGTTGCTTGTTTAATCAAACTCTTTAACTTTTTTTTTATTAATGCACAATACTATGCTATTTTAAAATCTATAAAATTTTATTTAACACAAAATATCAAAATCAGATTTATTTTTTAAACAATTAATCTAATTATAATAGCTATCAAATTTTAATAACATATTTAAAAATAATAAAGCTGGTTTGATCTGTTTGTAATAACAAAACTATTTATATAATATAAATAATAGATAATAATTTAATCAATAAAAATATTTTTTTAATAACAATATAAAAATACATATTAAGTTTTTTATAAACATTTTTTTATATATAAATATTATTTCTTTATTTGATTTGTATAATATATATACATGGTGATTCATAATTTTTTGAAATTGGTTTTTTAATATAACTTTATTAATAATTATTTAAATATTATAAAAATTTATAA